TATCGAGAGGTCAGCACTGCAAAAAATACTTAAAGGGTGTATTAAATCAGTTTATATGCGCTTTTGGGCTCATTTATGCACTTCATAAACACAAAAAATGCTTATAAGTAGTCAAGATCAATTGGATTCCGGTTAGTTGTAATTTTAGTTGTATATAGATATAGTTTAGGTATATTCTAGTTACAAAATTTGATTAGGTACTCCTCTGCAATAAATGATAAGTGGGAATATCACCTATGAAATTTACGCGAAATAAAAAAGTTTCTTTTCCGATTGCTTTCCATTCTTTTACCTGAAGGAAAAACGAAAGCAAAAGTATGAGAATTTATTTCCAAATGATGGGGTCTAAATCTCCTTAAAAATTTGATCAAATTTAAAAAGGAATTCCCTGTTGTGCTTCTTTATTTTGCAACTTGCAAAAAGTGCTGCTCTTGTAATAGTATTCCGTCGCTTGTCATTTACCAAAGTTGAGTAGTCTATATTGAACCCATCAATGTAATGGACAATCAATCAGAATCATTGGACCTTTCCTGGATACGAATCTCCCCAACTGGTGGAGCTAAACTTACTTTATAATATGGAATTCGCAAGAGACCTTAACTTTATTAGTAACATTAGTTAGAGGGTGATCTCCTATAAGTAAGATCTTATTGTGTTGACTAGTAAATACTACCTAACATTTATGCGACGTTAATTCTATGTTCTATAGGGGTAATACGCCAGATAACTTATAAGGTCAGTCCGGTTTACGAAGGATCCCGGACTCACACAGGGTACGGAGAAGGGCCACATCCCAAGAAGGTGTTATATAGGCAGCCTATGTGTTAGTGATTGATTCCACGATTCGAATCCATGGCCTATATGTTACATAGAAACAACTTTAACGTTGTTCAAAGGCTCCGTTTTGACATATAACAAAGTTTATGAATTTAAACTTGCAAAGGACAGATTTAATTTTCTTAGTTTCTTCTTTGAATTTGAGGGCAACTCTTCAAAATAATTGTTTAAACTAGATGTCAAATGGTATATAGCGTAAGAATAATAGTACAAGAAACTGCGTGATGCAGTAATAGGAAAAAGCGGACGAAATCAGTAATGGTAATACTCTTGAGTAGTAAATCCTAATGTGAACAAAATAATTCCGAACAAAAAGGGGTGATTCTGAAATTAGTGGAATGCAACCTCAACAGCAGCCTGAAAAAGTGACTTGCAGGATCAAACCCAGTCAACTTGGCAAATTGCATCTTTTTTCCTAACTTCGTAACCCAACCTAAAAAGGAGAAAGGAGCAACTGGTTGTTGTCTGAACGAAATTTTATTAGAAATTGATTTTTTTTTTAAAGCTATATAAGCTATACAAATTCTTTTGATAGTATGAGACCTTTAGAGAAAACCTTGCGATTTTAACTCAAATCGAACAGTATCGTACCATGGTAAAGAGTACATTTGGGCTACCTCTCCGGTTTCAAATGATGCAAAGTGACAGATAGCCTGAGTGAGCTGGATTGGTCTCTGCTTTCACTGACATGGCTTCTTGCCTAATGTTTCATTGTTTTGGAGTCGATTTAAGAAATGGACAAAATAAGGGCAGGGTCTATGTATGCACAACACAAGCCAAGAGGTCCCCGTTTTGCCAATAGTTAATAAAAAGAAGAAAAAGAAAAAAAAAGGTTCCTGCACTATTCTAAAAGTGGTACTAGTATTATTAGCTAGTGGAAACCCAGAGCCGAAGTAATTGTCAGAAAGTTCTATATGGAATTGTTTGGAAATTTTTGAAAAGAAAACAGAAACTTTTTACACTTTTGTGTTTGGCTAGGAAAATAAAGAAAAATTAATCAACAACCAATAGTTCCATCATTCCATACACAAAATGAGAGCAACAGAATCTTTGCCAGCTTCCAATGCTGAAATAAACCGGGGAAAATATGTTTTGATGAATTATTATGAGCGGCGGAAGCAAAATTTCAGTATCAAAATCACATATAATTTAGACAACTAGCACATACGGAATTTCGCGGGTTACCTCTTGAAGCGTGATAAAACTCCTTTATCACGTGAGCCTCTAGTTCCACAACAACTCAGTGAAATCTCCACCATCAGCACGATCACGATTCTTGAACGTTCCACGATCTTCTACTGTGTTACTCAAATAACATCCGAAAATAGTAATTTCGTGTAAAAAAAAAAATTCTAGGAATAAGGGCCTAAAATTCGGCTACCCTCTTCTCATCTCTCTCTAGGTGAAAACCTTATGTATTTATAGTATAAGTTTTAAGGGTTAAAACCCTTTTTCCAAAACCTGTTGGGTTTTCTTTTACACAAAGAAAACAAATTCCTTTATTTCCTATTATTTAGGCACTGCAGGGACCACATAATTTAATTAACAAGACTTCCACTTGTGGAATTAACTTCTAATTTTCTAAATTAATATCCATCATAATAAATTATGAATTATTTAACTATAAATTCGCAATTGCACTCCTTATTCAATTTCGAAATTCATCTATTAAATCTTATTTAAGGCCCCATATTAAGATTCAGATACTAGTCAATTAAATTAAATTACTGACAATTTAATTTATTGATTATTTTCTTTAGACTTTCGCTTAACTTATTTCATGTGTCAGATACAGAATTCACCGGTCGGGTTTACACATGAAAACTTATAAACTTTCATAAAGGTGTATCATCTATCTCTAAACCGAGACATGGACTCCATCAACTAACTATTACTTTGCCATTATTATTATTCAATTTACCAGGCATATTGACCCACGACAGAATCTCACCTTTTAATAAATCAAAACAATAATAATATACACAGCTAATAATATTATATTAAGATTAAGAGTATAAGTGCATTTAATGGCTAGAGAGTTTATTTTATTAAATCAATAGAAAATACTTATCTCTACTTGGTTCATTCAATACATACAAAATGTACTAGCACAATAAGTTAGAATTAAACCATTCCCATAATTAAAATAAATTTAATTTAATTTAATCTTGTGCTACAATCATTCCTGTTGGTTTGTCCAATCTCATCATTAGATTGTGAACTCAAACTTTAAACTTATAAGAACCGATGATTTAATCTTCCGTATATAAGCTAAACTCTATGCACTAATTCATCTACTATATAAGCGAAGGATACAAACTAATATATGGATCTATTCAAATCTTTATTATAATTAAATAAACAATTATTCCATAATAAATACTATATCCAAACCAAACACATGATTAATAGTATATATCCCAACAATCTCCCACTTAGACTATTACCATGATAATTATTAGAATATACTATTTAATAGTATCTGTCTTAACAATCTCCCACTTAGACTTATAACCATGTATTTACAACTTTCTCATGTATTCTTTTTATATGACTACTAAAAATTTTCGCCAAATAAAATTTTGTCAAAGAATCTTGCCAAGTTATTTTCTAATGCAATCTTTGTCCAGTAGTGCTTTGTCGTAACTATCTAGTTTGGTATTAAACTCTTCAGGGATCCTGTTACCGAAACTATCCCAAGAGTGTATACCAAACTATGATTTTTCTTAGTATTCTCCCACTACGACGAAGTACTATTAATATTACCTTCATTACTTTACGGTATTGAAATATTAACGACTTCTTACTGTGGTGTTGACTGTTCAAACATCACTCACACTATATATAGGCATATTCTGTCTATTCACGTTCTCCCACTACTTAAATGCAGTAGAACGTCAATTCCTAAGTGTGAGTTTTGATATTCTTGAACATCTTGTTATTTCTTTGCCTAGCTCCTCAGTTCTTGTAAAACTAGTTTACTTCTAGGAACATAGTTTATTAGACAGGCCTTATCTAGAATACTGGCATTTATTTTAACAATTGCCTTAATTTCTTTAGGACAATAAAATAAACATCTATTCATTTCCTTGGATATTCAATAAATATGCACCTATCCATTCTTAATTTCAACTTATTCGCTTTTTCTTTCAGCACATATGCTAGACAATCCTATATCTAAACATGCCGCAGACTGAACTTACATTCAGTCCACAGTTCTATAGGTGACATAGGTACTAACTTAGAAGGAACTAAATTCAAAATGTGATTTGCAGTTTTCGGGGAATATTCCTAAAAAGAGCAAGGAAAATCTGAATAACAGTTAATCTATCTATGTCTAAAAACGTCTTAATTCTTCTTTTTGCCATTCCTCTCTATTATGGAGTTCCCGTTATAGACAATTGAGATGTAATCTCTTATTCTGATAAATAACATATGAACTCTTTAAAGAGGTATTCGCCACTACAATCAAATCGCAGTAACTTAATATATTTTCTTGGTGTTTCTCCATTTTAAGTCTTAAAAACCTTGAATTACTCAAATCATTCAGACTTACGGTGCATCAAATAAATATATAAATATTTTGAGTAATCATTTATGAATATCACAAAAAGACTCAAAACTATCTCTTACCAGTATGTTCATTGAACTATACAAATCAGAATGGATACATTCTAACTTATCACCAACTTTATTTCTTTTTGAAGGGAAACATTCTTTAGTCAAATTTTCTTCTAAATAGGATCCACAAGTTGGCAGTGCCTCTACTTTCAATGAACCTTAAGGTCCATCCTTGATCAACTTGATATCCTATCTAGATAAATATGACTTAGATGCGGGTGCACACATAAGCTCTACTCAATTTTGAAAAATATTTTCTCTTATGAGGTAGACTAACATTATTCAGTTCAGGAGAGACATTAACAATAACAAGGTCATGTATCCTTGTACCACAAGAGATAAAATGTTTATCAAGCTCAATAACACAAAATTTATTCGAAAAATAAACTAAATATCCATTTCTTGTAAAACCAAATATATTAACTATGACAACAGTAGTAACTACAAACATACGCAGCGCAGCGACTATGTAAGGGCAGGACACTCGGTTCTTTTGTGGGCAGACGCATATGTTTACATGATCAAATGAAAGAAGACTGAGATTCAGGAGACTTAATTAGTCGAAGATTTTCATTTGAAGTCTGAAAGCATGACCAAAGAAACTAGACCGTTACACTATAACAAACTAAACTTGATATACATTACACCAAGAACATAAAACAGAATCCTAGATGGACATTTTTCAACGGTGCCACTCATGAATCCCATATCTCGTATCTCGTTGATTGGATCTGGAGCTGCGAATTACCGTTAGCTCCATGTCCATCCCAAGACTGTGAAGTAATCTCAGACGGGTATGCCACAACTGAACTTCCATAAGATGATCCAAAATCCATCAGATCTTCATCACTTGAGCTATTCCAGTAGTTCACAACATCTGTTGTAGTTGTGAATTTCTGCAAAGGGGTTGAATAAAACTTTTCTTTAGATAGAGAATTGATGTTGTTTCCAGATGTGTCGGCCACGAAATGGAAAGTCGTAATGTCATGGATGCTAGGTCTCCTCTTGTCTTTGCATCCTGAGAGCTGTCTCTGGTAGTATTTCTGAGCATGACTTGCCACTTGTGTTGGTGTTCTTGAGATTACCATTTTCTTGGATATGTTCCTCCAGTCCCCTTTTCCATACTTGTCTAGACCCATTAGGAATCGCCTATATCAAATAAACAAAAACTTTTATTAACCAATTTAAGAAAAAAGGGTGCTAAGAACAAACCAAAATATATATGCACCTGTGCTCTTCCTCTGTCCATGGTACACCTTTCTTTCTCTCTTGATCAGAAGATCTGCCTCTCTTTCTAAATGTTTGTAATCCACAATCATCGACCAATTCTAACGTAACAGAAGACGCGAAATAACCAGGATTTGGGACCAATCCAGCTTCAATGTCACAAACATCTGCAGCTAGTTCCTGATATTGCTTCATCACATCAAGCACTGACTTTCCAGGGATCATATCTGCTACCTGAAACCACCTATTCGGAGTATTCTCATCGTATATCGCAATAGCACTTTCGAACAGTTTGTTCTCTTCTTTAGTCCATATTGAGCTCTTGTTCTGCTGCATCATCCAACTTGATGAAATAGGAAATATAGTTTCCATTTCCAGAGCTTATCAGACACAGGACAATAAGATCTTGTACAAGTATTTGATGTGCAAATGACTAGAGGATGAGATTTTTATGACACCCAAAAGGTATTAATTCAGAATCGTATACTGGGAATAAGAATACCCTTTTGAACAGCATCATAGATTAGAGAATTTAGTGAAAGATCCAACTTTTCAGATTCAAAAGAATCTTGGATAATTAGAAAAAAGCCAACTGAGAACTCTACAAAGAATTTAAGCTAAAAGCTAATGAATTTTCTTGGAAAGCAGGGGGTTAATGGCCCTCAAAAGAACTTAAGAAGATGTAATGAAATTGAGACCTTTCAGACAACAGAATGAGAGAAGAAAATAGGAAAATTAGTTTGAAGGAAACTGATGGGACAGTGGCAGCATATTTTGTGATGTATCAGTGAATCGTGGTTGTATTATATGAAATGACGAGTGGAACAAAACTTAGAAAATACGTAATAAAAAGGAGACACCGGACGACGCTTGGTGTCCACCAGTCATAAGATTCGATACATGTAATGAAAGTACAAGAATGAGTGAATTGTCGATTTTTCTTCTTTGTATTCTAAGTAGTTGACTAATTTATCAATTAGTCGACTAGAGATAAGAACAGAATAAAAGTAAAGTAGAATTAAAGTGCAGAAATTAAAGATACCAGAATTTTTATACTCGTTCGGATTCAATGTGAATCTTACGTTCAGTTCCCTTGGGTTGTGTATACGGTCAAAACCAGTTTCGACCTTCGTACTATTGGTCAAGATGGGAACTTAATGGACCGAAGAGCGTCTTCATAATATCGAGATGAGGTCTGAAGCCAGGTTACCAAGTTTCGAGTTTTAGGGACCGATCAAATACCGAGGTCGAAGTCATTACCAAGCTCTAGTCCAAATCGAACTCTGATATGAAGCGGTGTTATCCAGCTTAAGAGCCAGAGATCGACCAATACCGAGCCCGAATAAATACCGAGCCCTGAATCAATATCTAGCTTGAGTCAATATCGAGCTCTAAATTTGGAGATCGATCAATATCAAGTCCAAACAAGATCGAGCTCATAAACAAGAGCCGTTACAGCCGCACTAAGGGAGAGAATCTTGGCGGGAATTAGAAAAAAACTGATTTATCATGGGTTCCAACTATGTATTTTAAATTATATCTAAAGTAGGATCCCTCCACTATAAGAGGGATGGATATATTTCTGTAAAAGGGACCATCAAGGCAGTGAGATAGAATATAATTCAGATATTGTTGATACACTCCCATTCTGAGAGATTATCCCTTTGAGCTTTATACATTGAATCATCTTGCTTATTCATAAATCATTCCCCTTTTACCTTTGTTTGTATTTCATTGTTTACGGTCAATATTCCATATTTATACCCACTTTTATAATTTGTGTCAAGTTATACCACGTACCCTTAGAACTACGTACAAATTCAACTCTATCCGTTTTTCGGGTAAACAGTTTGGCGCCCACCGTGGGGCTAAGGATAACAGTGGTTGTTTGGTACGAATCAATACAAAACACACCATTTTACACTTGCTCTTGGAAGTATCTTTGATTTCAGGTTGAAAACGACGAATATTCAATTAATGACCCTACCTATCGACAACGAAGCTGGCCTTCAAGATGAGAACAACAACTTAACCCCGGGGATGGAAGGCCACCCGTCGATCTCGTTGGAGCTCGGGTCGAAGAGCCAATAGACGTCAATTCACATGCGACCATCGAGGCGAACTAACGTTTAGACCCTGAAAACAACATTCATGGTGGAACTCGGTCTGCAGCTCGAAATACCCAAAACGCTGAGGAAAACGGAATCAGCCTGCGTATGATCTTCGAGATGTTGCAAACTCAACAAGTAGCAATAGCCCAGTTGCAGAACCAAACCCAGGCACCGACCAGACTCGAGCCCAGTCCACCCCAAGAAGTCACCCACAAAATGGGGCCAGCTATAGTAAGGTCAAATGAGCAAGAATCGGGGACTAATCCCGAAATTGTTAAGATGTTCGAAGAACTGACAAAACGAATAGAGTCAGGAGAAAGGAGGATCGAGACAAACGACAAAAAAGTGGAAACATATAACTCCAAGGTTGATCAGATCCTCGGGGCACCACCGATATTAAAGGGCTTAGATTCTAAAAAGTACATACAAAAGCTTTTCCCTCCGAGCGCGACTCCTAAACCGATCCCAAAAAAGTTTCGCATGCCCGAGATTCCTAAATATAACGGAACGACCGACCCCAATGAGCATGTCACCTCTTACACATGTGCCATCAAAGGGAACGATCTAGAGGACGATGAGATCGAATCTGTATTGTTGAAAAAAATCGATGAAACTCTATCAAAGGGAGCAATGATATAGTATCATAATTTAGCGTCTAACTCTATCGATTCTGTTTCTATGCTTGTAGATTCTTTCGTAAAAGCACATGCCGGGGACATAAAGGTCGAAACCAGGAAGTTGGACCTATTCAAGGTAAGACAAAAGGATAACGAGATACTAAGAGAATTCGTATCTCGTTTCGAAATGGAACGAATAGATCTACCACCAGTCACAGATGATGGGGCTGTTCATCTTTCACTCAAGGTCTAAACGAACGAAGCTCGATGGCTTCACGGCGGCTGAAGCATAACTTGATCGAGTACCCAGCTATTACTTGCGCCGATGTGCACAATCGGTATCAATCCAAAATAAGAGTCGAAGACGACCAGTTGGGTTCTGGGTCCGATACCAAAAGGGATATCGACTGAGAACCAAGGGCGAACAAGGATCGATATCGACCATATAACAGAGATCGTAGGGGTAGCGAACCTTCACGAAATCCCGTACGAGGTGAAAAGAGAAATGATCGAGGCCAAGGGTCTCGGGGGTTGATGAACAGGAATGGGTTCGACAGGCATACCGGACCCAAGGAAGCACCTCGGTTATCGGAGTACAACTTCAGCATCGATGCATCCGCTATCGTGTTGGCTATCGGACGCATCAAAGATACTAAATGGCCTCGACCTATGCAGATCGATCTTGCCCAAAGGAATTCCAATCAAATGTGCAAATATCATGGCACTCATGGCCACAGAATGGAAGATTGCAGGCAATTAAGAGAGGAGGTAGCCCGGTTATTCAATAAAAGGCATCTTCGAGAATTTTCAAGTGATAGGGCCAAAAATCATTTCAAAGACAGGGATTTCAACAGACGGAATGAACAAGAAGAGCCACAACACATCATCCACATGATCATCGGTGAGATTGATACCCCTCAGGGGCCGGTGCTTAAATGCACTAAGAAGTTGGTTATAAGAGAAAAAGATCTCGAACTCAAGATTACGCATCCATAGGAACCCTGTCCTTTAATGATGAAGATGCAGAAGGAGTCATGCAACCTCACAACGACGCACTGGTAATATCTGTACTTATGAATAAAACTAAAGTCAAATGTGTGTTAATTGATCCAGGTACCTTGGCTAATATTATTAGATCGAAGGTCGTAGAGTAGCTCGGCCTGCAGAACCAAGTCGTACCCATAATTCTGGTTCTAAACGGATTCAATATGGCATGTGAAACTACCAAATGCGAGATAATTCTGCCAATAAACGTGGCCGAAACCATCCAAGAAACGAAGTTTCAAGTAATTGAAGGGCGATATGAGGTACAATGCCCTTTTTGGAAGGTCGTGGATCCACAATATGAGAGATGTGCCTTAGACCCTCCACCAGGTTCTAAAATTCCCAACATCGGAGGGAGTCAAAACAGTTTACGGAGAACAACCGGCTGCAAGAGAAATGTTTGCCGTCGAAGAAGCAACTCCGATATCTTCACTATCATCGGTAAAGGGATCGAGTTCGAAGGAAGAACGAAATACCAAATAGCAATCACAAACGTCAGCTCCGACCCAAATAAAGAATCGGAAGACTGACGAAGATGATGAACATGGGGTCCCTCGATCCTTCGTGGTCCCCGATGATTCCGATGCTACTCAATCTACGGTTAAAGAACTGGAGCAAGTCATACTAATCGAATATCTTCCCAAACAAAAGGTATATCTGGGCACAGAGTTAGATCCCGAGCTCAGGAAAAAGCTTATTCAATTTCTTATAGCTAATATAGACTGTTTCACTTGGTCCCATCTTGACATGACAGGGATCCCACCGGGAATCACCACTCATAAGCTAAGCTTGGACCCAAGGTTCTACCCGGTAAAACAAAAAAGAAGGCCCCAGTCCGAGGTCAAACATACCTTCATCAAAGACGGGGTAACCAAACTTCTCAAAATAGGGTCCATTCGGGAAGTAAAGTACCCCGAATGGCTAGCAAATGTGGTGATAGTCCCTAAAAAAGGGAAGAAGCTTAGAATGTGTATAGATTGTAAAGACCTGAATAAAGCATGCCCTAAGGATTCTTTTCCTTTGACTAATATCGATCGTATGACCGATGCCACGGCCGGTCACGAGACTCTCAGCTTTCTCGATGCCAACTCCGGGTATAACCAAATACAGATGAACCCGAAAAATCAGGAAAAGACCTCATTTATCACTAAGTACGGGACTTACTGTTATAACGTAATGCCATTCGGCCTAAAAACGCTGGTGCAACCTATCAACGCCTAGTAAACAGAATGTTCGAAAAACAAATAGGAAAAATAATGGAGGTTTATATTGATGACATGTTAGTTAAATCACTGCGAGCAAAGGACCATTTAAAGCATTTGCAGGAAACTTTCGACATACTAAGGAAGTACAATATGAAGCTCAATCCCGAAAAATGTGCTTTCAGGGTTGGCTCGGGTAAGTTTCTCGGCTTCATGGTGTCCAATCGAGGAATCGAGATTAACCCCGATAAAATCAAAGCAATCAAGGACATCACAGTGGTAGATAATATAAAGGCCGTGCAAAGGCTAACGGGGCGGATAGCCGCCCTGGGACGATTCATTTCAAGATCCTCGGATAGGCGCCACCGATTTTTCTCTTTGCTTAAAAAGAAAAGCAATTTTGTATGGACTCCGAAATGTCAGCAGGCTTTGGAAGAGCTAAAACGGTATTTATCGAGCCCTCCATTGCTTCATACCCCGAAGGCAGACGAACAGCTCTACCTGTATCTAGCTGTTTCGGAGATAGCGGTAAGTGGAGTCCTAGTTCGAGAAGAACGAGGTATGCAATTCCCTATTTATTATATCAGTCGAACTTTAGGTGAGGCCGAAATTAGATATCCACATTTAGAAAAAGTAGCGCTTGCTTTAATAAGTGCCTCTAGGAAACTAAAACCATATTTCCAGTGCCATCCGATACATGTTGTGACAACTTATCCTTTACGAAATATTTTACACAAGCCTGAGCTCTCAGGTCGACTAGCCAAATGGGCCATAGAGATCGGCGGGTACGACATCGAGTATCGACCTCGAACCGCTATCAAATCTCAGATCTTAGCG